ATATTCTTATTACACGATCACCGGAAACAACCATACAGACCGGGTCGTGCTGGTCAAATTGGGTAATCAGCAAACTGGTGGCTCATAAAGTTTACTAAGCCGTTATATTCAAATATTTAAGAGCTCAAATAATAATTATTATTTGCATTCTATGCCGCAAATGGATAGTTTTTGCAGGTTGTAACCAAGAATCGAGCTTGTGGCGGCTGACCCGACGCCCTTGAGAATTGTCGCTACCCAGTTTTATGGGTGGTAGCATTATGAATCAAGACAATACTCACCAAGGTACAAATAACAAATATCGCGAAACAAACCTAACTCGAGTTGTAGTGGAAAGGCAGGATAAAAATGAATACTTTATGGTTTTATTGTACTTCCTTATGTTACTTATTTTCATTATGGAAAAAATAAATCATATCATATAATAGACAACGTAAAATATTAGCCATTATTAGGTAGGCATTCGGTAGGCAGAGGCTTTGCTCTGCCCCTGGCATTGCTGAAGTCCATGGGCGACAGTAACCACTCACCATCAGGTGCGACGTATGCTCGTCTGTCTACAAGGGCAATAAAAAAAAAAATTACAATTATTATTAGTTATTTAAAATTAAATATGCTTACAAACAACAACTCCCGGTGTGTTGAAAATTACGTATTTCGCAAAAAATAAACTTTTTATTGGTAATGTCAAGATCCGATCGCTACCTTCCTACTTACCTTGCCTTCTTATCTATTTCTTCCGTGAAGCAGTCATGTGTTCGGATCTTCAGGGGCCACTTTTCATGCATTTTTTTTTTATTTCCCTCTTAGGCAGACGAGCATACGGCCCACCGCTGATTGGTGAAGTAGTGGACACCGTCGCCCATGGACTTCAGCAATGCCAGGGGCAGAGCCAAGCCGCTGCCTACCGCTTAATAACTCGCTACCGCTTAAAGCCTCGTTTGAAGAAGGACATGTCATAGCGCTCGGGCCGTCGAGGGGAGCTCATTCCATAGCCGGATGGCACGCAATTATATGCAATTATTATTCAAACCTCGAGTCACAAAGGGCTATCGATATCCATTACATCGGTTCTTTGGGCTCTCAACCCAAATACACTTGTCAAATATTACAACTCTCCTAGCTGAACCTTTGACTCGTTTCTGCTGTCTGTTTGTGCGCTGGTAGAAGACGGCTGTTTCTTTCGATGGGTTTCGGCTTCTGTAGTGAGGTTTCACAGGTAACTGTCTGGTTCACTGGTAGCTGATTCACTGGTGGTTTTCTGATAACTGTACTATTGGAGAACTGCTGGTAACTGTTTCTGTCTTGCTGATGGTTCTTTGTCGAAGATTCACTGGGAACTGTTTCTGTCTTGATGATCTGCTGAGAACTGTTTCTGTCTTGATGATCTGCTGAGAACTGTGTTTTGCCTGTAAATGGCCATCCTTTTATATTTATTTCAGTACCCCATCTCGCGACGCGCTATTGACGCGCCACTTTCGGGGGTCCCTTGATCTGTATGTTACCGTAGTGAAAGCGATCCACAAATCGTTCCTATTGGTCTATTTACATTCTCTGATCTGATACACTAACATATTGCATATAAAATAATTTAAGATTATACATTTTTGTTACGTAATCACTTATTAACGGTTAAATTAAATCTATTTGTTTCTTAAACTATAAAAAACCCTATTTCGTCCTGCACATTACTCCCGCCGTGCGAGTCAGTCGCATTCTTCTCGGTGCAGGATGGTCTTCTTCGATGGGCAGGATCACTAGTTTTCGTACCGGTCTCCGTAGAGCTCCACCTTCGGTTATGTCTACGGTGCGCCCCACGTTGTCGGGACCTGGATACGTCACGATCGCTTTTCTCTCGTGTGCGCGTGTTTTGTGGCAGGCACTTCCACTTTTCATGGCGACGCCTCAGCCATGAGGCTCTCGCCGGTGCTGCAGCTGCTATATTTACTTCACCCATCGGTTCTGTAGTTTCTGAGGCCGATTCCGTCGGCCAGGAGTCCTCTCGTTGGCGTAGGAATTCTGTCCCTCTGAACCATCTATGTTCATTTTGGTACGACATTGGGACGTCTCGGGTCACGTCGTCGGCTAAGTTGTGCTTCGTGGGTAACCATCGCCTCCCGTTTATTGTTGAACTGTCCTCTATAGCTGTCAGGCGTTGGGCGACGTATGGTTTGTTCGAGCGTGATCCCGTTCTTGTCCATCTCAACACTATCTTACTGTCGGTCCAGAAGGTCTTCGAGGTCGGCTTTCTTTCGTGTTTTCGACTAAGCTCTGTAGTTATGTGCACTGCATCTTTTAAAGTTTTTAAGTTATCCAAGTAGAAGTCGTCTACGTAGTGTCTGTTCTGTACTGCGACTGCCGCCTCCGGGTGCGTGGCTTCTTGTTTCTGGGTGTTCAAGTTCTTTAAATATATCGCTGTGGCAAGAGAACTTGACGCACCGAAGATCAACGAGGTCATTCTGTTTTCTTCTGGGGGCTTGTCATCTCGCTGATCTTTGCACCAGAGATAACGGAGCGCGTCTCTGTCTTCAGGTCTCAATTTTACTTGTATGAACATCTCTTTGATGTCTGCTGTTACTGTTATATTATGCTGTCTGAATCGCATTATCACTCCTGGTAGTGATTGGAGTAGGTCCGGTCCCTTAAGCAGCATATCATTTAAAGCTACCCCTCTTCTTCTGGCGGCGGTATCGTGGACGACTCGGAGTTTTTCCGGCTTCAGGGGGTTCAAGACGGCGAAGTGAGGTAGATACCACGTTCTGTTCTCTGTTTTTGTTTTTGGGGCGGGCTCGGCGTAGCCTTTCGCGACGAGTGCTTCCATCTGTTCTGTGTATTTCTGTTTCAGTTCCGGATTACGATCGAGTTTGTTTTCTATATTTATCAGTCGCTTTAACGAGTTATTGTAGTTGTCTGGTAGACTGACATTATCTGTTTTCCAGAGCAGAGCAGTTTCGTATCTTCCATCTGTTGTGTGGACTGTATTGCTATAGAGAATGCGAAGCGCCTGTTCCTCTGGGTCTGTTTTTGGTCTTCTTGGTGTGATGCATAGCGCATCCATAGCGAAATACTGTTTTACCAGATTTTCTATTTTATCATCTTCCTGGGTTTCGCTAGCATGATTTATGTAGTTTATATGGTGGCCAAGGGTACGAGTGCGACCTCCATGCAGTACCCAACCTAGAGGTGTCAGTGACGCTATTGGCTGATTCCTGTTGCCTCGTCTAACTTTCGAAGCTAGTAACATATGCCAGTTGTCTTGGCCAATTAGTATTCCAGGTTTCGCGTTCTCGTACGTGATGATGTCACTGATGTCTCGTAGGTGCGAATACTCATCTATCTGTTCCTTTGGTATTTTTTGTGCTGTTACTTGTAGGTCGTTAACTGTTCTCGCTTGTATTATTTCTTTTCGACTGTTGAGGCCTCTGAGCGTGAGGTTGACTCTTCTTGACCTTGTTTCCGTTGATTTTATGTTGTTAATCGCCTGTATGTGTAACGGATCGATTGGTCCTGTTATTCCAGTCTTCTTGCAGATGATTTCGTCTATTAGTGTCACCGTTGATCCATCGTCGAGCAGCGCGTATGTATCAACCGTGCCTATCGGGCCTTGTACTTGGACTGGGATTATTTTCAAATAGGACTGTTTCTGTTTTCCGGTCCAAGCGGAATTAATGTTTTCTATTGTTTCCTTGTCACTGTTGTCTGTCTTTTCTATTTTTCTGTCGAAATGCAGCATCTTGTTGTGAGTATATTTGCAATCATTGATGCCACACGTGTTCGGTTTGCAGTTGTGGGTTTTATTCTTATACTGTAGACATCGGAAACACAGGTGTTTATTCTTAGCGATGTCCCATCTTGTGTTTGAGTCTGCCTTCTTGAATATGTAGCAGTCTGTTGTGGTGTGTTCGGTGTTGCTACATACCGGACATTTAGCTCGTGATGGCTTCTCACTGACTATGTGCACGTTTTGTGTGCGTCTGTTATATTGTGCGGGCTGCGAGTAGTGCCCCGCCTGTTCGGGCTGTGCATAAGGGCTGCACAGTTCGGCTTCTCTTTTCATGAATTTTTCAAATTTAATCAGATCCGGATCCTCCTTCGGTTGTACCGCGGTGAAGTCGTAGTATCGGTAACGTAGTGTTGGTGTGAGTTTTTCTAACATTGTTTTGGTAGTTTCCGGATTATATAAGTAATGTGTGCAATTTAATGCACGAAGCGTAGCTACGGCGTTGGTCACCTTACTGGAGAATATACAAATGTCTCTTGGTCTTTCTGTTAGTCTTGGCAGAGCTCGTAGCGTGTCTAACTCCGTTATGGCTATCGTTTCCGGTCTTCCGAATCGCGCTTCTAGACTTCTTATGACGTCGGACGGATCAGCGTTCGTTATAAGCAATCCGTCAACGGCTTCCTTTGCCCTTCCTTTCAGGTTCCTTCTGAGTCTGTTTATATTTTCTGTTTTTGTGAATGAATTCACTGTCTCGTGAGGGCTGCGCGAAAGGATAGCCAGTCTTGGTGATTTATGGCCGTTAAAGATATGGCAACTCTGTGTTATCTTGCTAATTGGTACCACCCGACAGATGCGTTCGAGATAAAGCTCGCTCGCCGGCTGTGAGGCCGGGGAGGACCTATGAGCGCCCCTCTTGGAGCTGAGTTTCATCAGCCTCTAGGCGTCTCTTGCCCGCGTCTCTTGCCCGCTTGGCGGGTCCCCCATGTGGGGACCGCGGCTGCACCCCGAAGGTGTAGCCTTATTTCGGCATCAGGGGCTTTAGACCGCACCCCGCCAGCCCCCCTTTTGGGATGGGGTATTTATACCCGCTACAGTCCTCGCCTCGCCCATTTAAAATTATAATAATGGGGAGAGGGGGGGAGGACTCTAGCGTGGAGTGCGGCTTAGCTCTCTCCCCCATATTAGGTTAGCTAGGTTATGTTAGGTTAAGTTAGATTAGGTTTAGGTTTAGGTGTGACGGCTCGCGCTGCCCCGGCACTCCACGGAGAGCAGGAGCGGCGCGCTGCCGTCACTTAGTTTTAAGTTAGATTAAGCTAGTCTAGTTTAGATTAAGTTAGGTTAAGATTGTATTGTAAGAGAGGGAAAAAAAAAAAAAAAAAAAAAAAAAAAAAAAACAGGAAGGGAGC